GCAGCTCCCCACCAGGACGTAGATGACGGGATTGATGCTGCTGTTCAGCGATATCAGGAAGCAAGAAATATCAAGGTGAGGCGAGTCAAACAAAAAAGGATCGAGGAAAACAACCACGCTAAAGGGAATCCCAAGAATTAACATGAAGATGACACTGAGCAGGATGGCGATGTAGATTTTCCCCAGGTGTCTTCTCTGGGAGCCCCAGCGGAGTTTGAGGAACAGGAAGAGGTTGGAAAGCAGTGGGAAGAAAAAGAAAATAAGGACGTTCAAGATGGTGAGACTTTTTAAGATGGATTCACAGATGTCGTCGTAACGACAACCGATCCAAGCCAAAGAGCCACAAAGTCCAGCGAGAGCCCAGATCACCCCACACACGATGCCGGACAAGTGCGGCGGCGGCCCCGGTACCAGAGTGGGAAGACAGCGGAGAGACACCTCTCCAGGTTGATGGCTGTCAGGAGATACATGCTGGCGAAATACCAGAACTGGAACGGAACGGCCATGACAATTTTGGCCCGAAAAAATTCAAGCCAGAAAAAGCAATAGACTTCTGAAAGAATGGATAGAATGAATTTCAGAACAAGGAACATGAGCAGAGAGAAGTCAGCAGCAGCCAGGTTCAGGATGTAGACAGTGAAAGGGATCTGCTTCATCTTGCAGCCCAGGAACCACAGGACTGTGCCGTTCCCCACAAGTCCACACAGACAAATCCCCAGACAGACAGCAAAAAAGACCATAAATCCGACTGAAATGTCTAAACAAGAATAATCATTTCTTCCTCCACCGTCCAGAGCAGAGAGAAGTCAGCAGCAGCCAGGTTCAGGATGTAGACAGTGAAAGGGATCTGCTTCATCTTGCAGCCCAGGAACCACAGGACTGTGCCGTTCCCCACAAGTCCACACAGACAAATCCCCAGACAGACAGCAAAAAAGACCATAAATCCGACTGAAATGTCTAAACAAGAATAATCATTTCTTCCTCCACCGTCCACATATCCAGGAGTCCTGTAGCTCAGAGAGGGATCGGTTGTGACGTTCTCGGCCATGGTGAGTAACCCTGCCCGGGGTGGCCACCTTCTCCCTCTCCCAACACCTCCTAGGAGACACGAGGAAGGAGAAGGGCAGGAGGGACACTGGTGACCCCAGCACTCCCCCACGCCAGCCCCAGGAAGGACCTGGTCCCCTGCCATGCCCAGGACAGGCTCCCAGCCCTGCAGCCCTGGCCCTGGCCAGCAGGCATCTCCCACCTGCCCACCCGCAGGCTCCTACCTCCTGGTGCTCCTGGGAGCAGTGCTGCTGCAGGAGCTCCAGCACACGGGGCCTCGGCGGGGCTTCCAGGCTTGCAAGGAGAAAGAGAGTGATGGTGGCTGCTGGAGCCACCACGCTCGGCTCCTCCTGGTCTCTCGTGCCTGAGGAGCAGAGCTTTGCCCAGAGATCACGTCCCCTGGTCAGCAGATTCCCCCCACAATCTCCCCACATCGGTGACAGCTTCCCCTCACATGGCCCATGGGCAGAGATCTTGTCAGCAGGACTTGGCCACGTCACCCCCTCCCTCTCCTCTCACCACTTTTTCACCAGGAGATTGTGATGCCTATAAAAAATACACTCAGACTCCATAAAGTATCATTTTAATGGAATTTGACAGATGTAAAACTCTGAAGAAGGTGAGATTAGCAGAGATAATCTTTTGTACATCCAGGTTCTGCTGGCTCTGTGTCTTTCAGCACCAAACAGAGCTCTGATGAGGGCAGACCCTGTCCCTGGAAAGGTCACCCTGCTATGGTCAGTTGAGCTATTAATGGATTTTTTTGGAGGGAACAACTCATTCTACTGTCAAATGTTTCCCATGTATCTACTGCTGAAGTCTTAGATAAAGGCAAGGACATGCAGGTGGTGAAACCACCAGCACCCTGTGGGAGCTGCCTGCAGGTTCCTCCCTGACTCTCAACCGCCCAGGTGTGGCCCATGGCCCTTGGACATGCACAGCATGGCACAGCACAGGCCTGGGGCTGCTCACGTTGAGAGTTCTTTGGATCACTAACTCCCTGGTGCATAAAGGTCTTCTGGCCAACACCTCTACACTCCACTGTCCAGCTTCTGCTCTCCACGCTGGCATCCCCTGGGTGTTGCTTTGTGAAGCTGGTGGTGGCATATTTCCCCTAGCTTGCTTCTGTCCCTTCCCTTTCTGCACATCCTGCAAGTCCAAGGGGATGGTAGGGAAGAGATTAGGCAGGGCAAGAGCAAGGCAGAAATATGAGGATGAGTGAGATGAGCCAGGGACCATCGACAACGAACACAAATCAGCAGAAACCCCTTGGAAGTCCTGACAGTCCCATGGCCTTAACGCTCCTCCTCATTCCCATCATTCCTCAGATGCAGAACCACTCCTGGTCATGCCAGTCCTCCCCGTGTCCCCCCAGACCTCCTCGTTCACCCACTCCCTCCACCTGGGATGCCAACAGAGGCCCCTCAGCAGCAGCCACCGAGGCAGAGCACTGGCCTCGTCTCAGCTTGCCGTGAGACACGGCCAGCATTCAGATGCAGAACATCACGAGGGCTTTGTCTGCTGCCTCTGATCACATCCCTGACACGCATCTGTCTCTTCTGAGATCGCATTTTGTGGGGCACAGAGTGCTGCAAATGTGCTTTTATCTACACGTGGCTCCTGCCACACGACCTCCTCCTTTAGCACCGCAGGGACTGGCAGTGGAAACGTGAAAGAAGGAGAAGAAATAAGCAACGTGTTCTGCATCTTCTGCATGCCTCTTCTTGGGAGTTGTTGCCTATGCTTGTCATCCCCAAGACTGAAGTCCTCCAAAGATATTCTTTTATTTCCTGGGGTAATGTTCAAGGTCTACATCTCTCCAGGGGTCCTGTCTGGAGCTACAGGAGTTGGGGCCAGAGGTATACTTGAAACAAGGTTAGAGGATAGACTCGAGGTCCATTCTTGACAGGAGGAGGGAGACAGGTCTTCATCCTAAAGAGGAGCCATCCCAAAGGATGGAGACAGGTCTTCGTCCCAGGAGCCCCAAACCCTGCTTCTCACTCCCCTCCCAGGCTCCGAGCATTTCGGGGATGCATCCAGAACGGGGCTGGTGGTGATTTCACAAATATCTGCGGGGCTGATGCCTCTAGATGGCAGGAGAGGCGTATGGATCACACGGAACCTCCTTGCTCCTCTGCCTAAAGAGCCGTTCAGCAGAGCCCCGCGGAGAGAAAGAGGAACAAACCAACCATAGAATCACACAGTCGTAGAGTCCTTTAGCTTCTGAGAGACTTTTCAGCTCCTCGAGTCCAGCCATCGCCCCAGCAGTGCCAGGTGCCCACTGCCCCGTGTCCCTCACCCCACATCTCCACGGCTTGGAAACCCCTCCAGGGGTGGGGACTCCACCACTGCCCTGGGCAGCCCGGCACAGCCCTGGGCAACCCTCCAGGGCAAGAAATTGTTCCTCAGGGACAACTGAAACCTGCTCTGGCGAAACTTGAGGCTGTTGCCTCTTGTCTTGTCCCTTGTTCCTTGGGAGCAGAGCCCGACCCCCCCCTGGCTCCAGGCTCCTGTCAGGAGCTGTGCAGAGCCAGAAGGTCTCCCCTGAGCCTCCTTTGCTCCAGGCTCAGCACCCCCAGCTCCCTCAGCTGCTCCTCCCCACACTTGGGCTCTAGTTTCTCTAGATTTGTTATGTTTCAGCTAGTTCCATTCAGCTGCAGCCAGACCCACACCAAAGCTGTCCCCCTTGTCCCCCCTTGGCTCACAAGGTGCCTCCATCCTCAGAGCATCTCCCAGGGAAAGGCTGCAGAGCTTTAAACAACTGTTTCCACTGGGCTTTCTCTGGGAGTTTTGCTTCTCATTTGAGGCTCTGTTCCATCTTCAAAAGCCCTCTGGAAAGCAGCCCTGACAGAGAGTGTGAACTTGTTTGCACAGTTCCCAGCCAAGAAGTAGATAACGGGGTTGATGCTGCTGTTCACACAGGCCAACAGGAGAGAAGTGTTAAAGACAAACCCCGAAAAATCAAACAGTCTTAAAAAGAGCCAGAAACTAAAATCAGCAGTGAGGAAGGGGAAGACGATGACAGCTAGCAGGACCACAACCCAGAGCTTCCTCGGGGGATATCGTGGTGAACAGCACAAGATCCTGGCAAGCAAAGTTAGAGCGGAAAAAATCAGGGTGAGAACTGATGAGAAATAGCTCAGGATGAAGACCATGAGCGCTGCAGGGCAGAAGTAGAGGGTCACGGTGAGGAGGAAGGAGAGGACCCAGAGCAGGGCACACACGAGCACCGGGCAGCGCTGGGAGTGGTGGCAGGGGCAGCAGGTCAGGGGGAGGACAGACAGGGACGTTGTGGCACTGACGGCTGTCAGGCTGTAGACGCTGGCAGTGAAAGCGAAGAGGATGATGATGGTCAACACAGTTGGCACATCCCGTGAGCCCAGCCTGTGACAAAGGCTCTCCGGGATGAAGAACACCCCAAGGGCCGCGGCGATGGAGAGGAGGAAGGTGAAGTTGGCAAGAGCCAGGCTGAGGATGTAGATGGTGATGGGGTTCCTCCAGAGGCGGGCGCGGAGGAACCAGAGCACGGCCCCGTTCCCCACCAGCCCCCAGCCACAGACGAGCAGAGTGACACAGTCTGTGCCCAAGTGACCAGATTCACAGTCGGTCCGGTTGTGGTTGTCATCCTCACGCCTCAGCAGCCTGGGATGCCAGCTCCTGTTGTGTGCCATCTCACCAGGCTGGCTCCAGCACGCTGGGCTGGCTCTCTCCGTGGCAGGGAACAACGTGCTCCTTGCAGAACCTCTGCTGCTTCTCTTCAGGTGTCACAGAGCTGGAGGGAGGAGATGAAGCAGAGGCACGTTACCAGCTCTGCTGTCCTCCACACCAGGCTTTTCAGATCTTTGCAAGCGTGGCCCAGCTTCCACATGGAGCAGCAGAGAGAATCAGAGTCATAGAAGGGGTTGGGTTGGAAGGGACCTTAAAGAGCATCTCGTTCCAACCCTTCTGCCGTGGGCAGGGACACCTCCCACTAGACCAGGTTGCTCAAAGCCCCATCCAGCCTGATCTTGAACACATCCAGTGATGGAGCATCCACAGCTTCCCTGGGCAACCCATGCCAGTGTCTCACCACCCTCAGAATGAAGAACTTCTTCCTAATTTCTAATCTAAATCTCACCTCTTCCAATTTAAACACATTACCCCACATTCTGTCACTAGAAGCCTTTGTAAAAAGTCCTTCCCCATCTTTCTGATAGGGCCCTTGAAGTACTGAAAGGCCATGAGAAGGTCTCTCTGGAGCCTTCTCTTCTCCAGGCTGACCAACCCCAACTCTCTCAGCCTGTCCTCGTAGGAGAGGTGTTCCAGCCCACAGACCATCTCCATGGCCCTCCTCTGGACATGCTCCAACAGGACTAAAAGAGGAACAAGGGACAGAAGAGATGGACAACAGGATGTGGAGAGGTGGATATGACATGCCTGGCACAAGAGCACAGAGGTGGAGCAAAAGCTAGGGAGATGCCTCTTGCCTGGCTTCAGGCAGGACAGATCTGGAGGAGAAATATAATAAGCTTGAAAGGATTGTCCTTGGAGATGTCAAAGAACAAGGGGGTTTGGGTGTGGAGCTGATACAGCTTCCCAGGTGTCTAATATTATAGTTCCTTCAGGAGGACACTTATTTCAGTATTCCCCACAATATTTATAGGTCTTAATATCCTATCAACCACACTTTCCCCAATCAGATTTGGTGCAAACTGACCAGCAGGCTCAACATCGATAAGGGGAGGCGCCGAAATAAAAACCCACCCAGAAAAATCTGACCTTTGTTCTTCTCACAGCCTGGAGAACCTCACTGGAGCAGATGTGCTGCAGACTCACATCAGCTGCCGCCTCCGTGGTGGGATCTTCCTGAGGTTTCCTGGAATTATCACTTGGAAAAGGGTGCTGAAGATTGTCTTGGTGAGCCTGTAGAGCATCCAGCATGGGATCCTTCCACAAAGCATTTGTCCCTGTGTTAGCCAAGCAGGTCACGTTCTCAGGGGTCCTTGCAAAGAGGGAACTGTTCCATCGCGTTCGACGGGGTTCTGGTTCTAATCTCTTCTTGGCTTGGTACAGGAAATGACTAACCAAAAAAACCTCAGAAACTGGACACATGGGAAAAGCAGATTGTCTCTGTGCCGAGTTCCTCTTTTGTTTCGTTTTAAAGCAATCCCCAAATATTTTTATCTTGAAAGTGGCTGAACTTTTCTCCTGTGTTTCCAGGGGTGTAGCTTTAGGACCCTGCTCGGTGTTGCTGCAAAACTTCCCTTCCTGCTGCAGACTGAGGTTAACCACTTGGATACCACAACTTCTCGGTGGTGCTTGACCTTCAAACACATTTTCTGAGACCGTGCTAAGATGTACAAAGAGGAGCTCGCTGAATAATAAGAGCTGTGCGTGAACCAGAGCGTGGTGAGAGGACTTGGGACTTGAGGAAAATGGGTTTTCTTCCTAAGGAGAGGTGAATCAAAGCTGCTCACTTGGCTTTAGCCATCTAAAAGTTCTGGGTTTCATCTGAGTTGTCTTCTACACTCCCAGCAGCCTGCAATGGTTTCCTCAGACAGGCCCGTGTAACTTCTAGGGAGCTGAAGTTAGGAAAGATGATTCCTATCCAGATGGACCATGTTGAAGGTCAAACACAAGCAGCTCTTGTTGCATCAAGGAGGAGGAGTGCTCATGCTGGGAACTGCCACCTATGGGGACCCCAGGACCAAAACCACCTCCTCCCTTCCTCACTGATGTTGTGTTTGTGACCTCAACTGCAGAGTCTCACATCCCCTCACCGAGTCAACCCTTTCAAGTGCAAAGAGGTCATGATAAGGAAAGCATCAGGGTACACCAGCATAATGCCATGCAACCCAGTGCTCGCTGCCCAGTCTACCCCTGTGCTTGACAGAGCAGTAGAACTGCCCCAAGTTCCTCAGCTCCTGCTTTTGTGGGCAACATCCTGAGCATGTTCACCTAAAATCTTGATTTATCATGGAATCACAGAATGGTTTGGGTTGGAAGGAACCTCCAAAGGTCATCTAGTTGAACGCCCCTGCAGGGAGCAGGGACATCCCCAGCTAGAGCAGGGTGCTCAGAGCTCCATCCAACCTCCCCTGGGATGGTGCCAGGGATGGGGCAGCGACCACCTCTCTGGGCAGCCTGGGCCAGGGGCTCACCACCCTCACCATCCAACATCTCTCCCTTCTCTCTAGTCTCAGTCTCCCTTGTTTCTCTGTCAGGAAAGCTGATGAACCCCTGGCAGGCAGAGCTCAGCCTCCTCAAGCTATCACCTGCAAGATCCACACCAGCCTCTATTTCTGTCTCTTTTCTTGGGTCTTCCCTTACAGTTTGCTTCATGGACTTCTCCAGATGCTGCAGAGAATTGCACTTTCCAACAGCCCCCAGCCCCCAGCTGTCTGTCTGTCCATCCTCTGTCCATCCATCATCTGTCCAAACTGGCACAGTGCTGATCACCTTGGCAAGCAACAGCCCCCAGCCCCCAGCTGTCTGTTTGTCCTCTGTCCGTCCATCATCTGTCCAAACTGGCACAAAGCCAATCACCTTGGCAAAGGTGAAGGTTTGGCTGCTCACTGATGCTGCCAGCACTATCAGCCAGGTTGAGATGAATGTTCTCTCTCAGACTGTGGAGGACACCAAACCAGCAGAGTTTCAAACATCATTTCTGTCCCTCACCACCATTCCTCTGGTCTGGGGGGTTTTGGGGATCAAGGTAGTGAGTGGTCGGTGCTTTAGTATCAGGCACTGAGGTCCCAGAAGAGGGTGGAGGCAGAAAGCGTTGGAATTCCCTCAAGTTGCACCAGGGAAGGTTTCAGCTGGATATTAGGAAGAATTTCTTCACAGAGAGAGTGGTTAGACACTGGAAGGGGCTGCCAGGGAGGTGGTGGAGTCACCATCCCTGGAGGGGTTCAAAAAATGAGTAGATGTAGCACTTGAGGCTATGATCAAGTGATCAGGGAGATGCTGGGAGGAAGGTTGGACTTGATGATCCTTGAGGTCCTTTCCAACCATAGTGATTCTATGGGAAGGAGACAAGGTACAGACTGGGGCCCAGCAGCATGGTTGTGTGAACCCTGGAGAACAGGAGCAGAGATGAGGCAGAACTTTCTGGACCACACAATTTCAGCACTCTGAACTAGTGAGGAGACCATCACAGCTATAATTTTGGGAACAAGCAAGAGCACCCCATGGAGCCAGCCAGAGAGGAAACTGCAACCACCATCAAGTTACATGGAGTATACTTTTATTTCAATAACTTAAGAATAAGTTTGAGGTGGGAACTCAGCCAGCCCTGCCCTTGGAAGTCTCATCAAGCTCGGCCATGTGCTGGGGGACACGCAACTATCCGCTGCTGGTCCTGCTCACCCGTGGGCTCTGCTCCCATGGGTGCAGAGCTGCCCCTCTCCAGGTGCCAGTCTGCAGCTGTGGGGGTTTAGGCAGCAATTCCCATCACAGGGGTCTCACCCACCTCTTGGGAATGTGCTCTGTCTTCAAAGACCCTCTGAAGAGCCACTTTGACAGACCCCCTGAACCTCAACTTTCTGTAGCTTCCAACCAGGACATAAATCACTGGATTGATGCTGCTGTTGAAAGAGGCCAGCAAGAGGCAGATCTCAAAGACAAAATTAGTGTAGACAAAGAAGTTGAGGAAGATCTGGACACTGAGCGGGATGCCAAAGAGGAGGAAGAAGAGAACAGTGAGGAAGATGACAGCGTACAGCCTCGCGGGATGGTGCTGCCAAGAGCTACGCCTGAGCTTGATGAAGAGGATCACGTTGGAAAGAACCATGAAAGGAGTGAAAAAGCAGAAATTGAGAAAGCACAGGGTTCCAAGAACCATCCAGCAGCGTTCAGACTGGCCCAGGTCACACCCAAAGTACACCAGCCCAGCAAGGACACTGGTGAGGGCCCACAGCAGGCTGCAGGTGACGGCTGAGAGGAGCTTGGGGCGGTGGCATCGGCACCAGAAGGGCCAGAGGACACCCACACACCTCTCCACACTGATGGCCGTGAGGAGGTAGAGGCTGGTGCTGTACGTGAGGAGAACCATGGAATGGAAGAGCGTTTTTTTTTCAGCACCCGCAGAACCTTGGGCTGAAAACAGACGAGCATGGGCACGTGGTAGAGGAGGAGGAAAGCCGAGGTGCAGAGGAGAAAGCAGGAGTCAGCCACGGCCAGGTTCAGGAAGTAGGTGCTGAAGGGGTTCCTGTGGACACGGCAGCTGAGGAGCCAGAGGATGGTCCCGTTCCCCAGCAGCCCCCCGAGGCAGACGAGCAGCGTGATGCTCCCTGTGAGGATTTCAGGCACGTGTTCTGCAAAGCACCTGGTCCCGTTGAGTCCTTCCCCCCAGACCGTGCTCCCTGTAGGCTCTGGGGACACGAGGTGCCAGCCAGGGAGGGTGTCGTTGGGAGCTGGGTCCATCTTCTGCCTTTATCTGCTGTGCTTGCCTGGGGAGAGGCAGGAGGTGAAGGCAAAATTAGTGACTGTCGGGTTCCTGGTGCTGTGATTGTCCTCTGGTCACTTAGATTCTCCTCTCCCCCATGGGCTACAACATCTGCAACCCAGGCAAGGGAAGGGAAGGGAAGGGAAGGGAAGGGAAGGGAAGGGAAAAGAGAAGAGGAGGGAAGA